GAACTTCTCATCATAAACTGACGTCCCTCTACGTGCATTAGAACATTGAGCTGGAGCGCTGCCGAGCAATCTTATCGATTTTTTAGGTGTTCGCGATTGTTACACATAGAACATCAAACTGTTTTTTCGGGTCTAAATCGCTTATATTTGTTTTATCAAACAAATCAACATTAAGGGCCCTTTAGATGTAGTTAAAGCTGTGACCATGGGACCAATTTTCATATACTTGACAAAAACTGAAAGCTATAAGCCGTAAACCCGAAGAATTGACATTCTTTGGGTTTACTGCTTGTACCCTGACGAGTACTGGTAGTTCTATATGACCTAAAACTAAGCAAAGCAATAAAGGTTCTGGTAATTCTGTATTATCCACAACTACGCAATGCTGCATGTAAACTATGAAACTAAAAAAATGCTCTGGCAGTACTGTATATCCACAACTGTAGGTATAAGCCCTTGATCCACAACTAAGCGCCGCACAAACGTGTCTTGTGTTGGATACAAGCAACCGGCAACTAGAATATTCTATTTTCATACAATTACGGTTGCCGCAACAGGCGCCTGTGGCCGGTTGCCACAACCGGCGACTGTGTCGATTTCATATTAATTATTATGAAAATAGAATATTCGCTTTTAGCTGTCGATTGCTAGTATCGAACACAAGACACATGTTTGCGCGGCGCCTAAGCTAGAAGCATGCAAGGTTATGGACAAAGTATATTGTTATTATGATTCATAAAGATTCTACAAAAAAATCCTACTATGATACTGAACTCGAACCACTCAATTGTTGTAGAGTCCAGTCGGCTCGAAGGAATTTTTGTTCGATCTTTTTAACTGACTTCAAAACAGGAGGAGGTTCTCAATTGGACTGTCTTTTTTACGTGTTACGCGATAACTCCTGCATTTGCAAAACGATTTTGATGATTCTTTTTTGTTAGAAAGAGGGTACCTCAATAGTGGTTCCATTCAAATTTGAAGAAAATACTCCACCTCTAAAGGTGGCAAACTAGGGGGTGAATGACTTTTGAGTTGTCAGTGTTGTATGGCGCGTTTTCTATACAAATTTGAGATATTTCGGTACAACGTTAATAAACGCAGCTCCGCACACCGTTGGGTGGCGCGGAGCAGTGTGACAATCGCCTAAAGGAGTCACCACACTTATAAGTGGCTTGGCCGATCGGAAAAAGCTTTATGTCCATGTAATAAGGGCGGAAAAACCCGTGACACATTTCGTTTCCGCCTGGATTCGCGTAGGCAAAACGTACGTCCCTTTCGCTCTTATTACGCAGACTTTTTCTCACCGGCTTAATGCGATTCAACGTCGATAAGTATGATTACCCCTTTACTTAAAAGTTTGAACAAGTCGCCTAAAACAAAAACTCAAGTTAAAATTACAGATGATAGAAAGTAAAAAACGCTCAATTCGGATTTTGGGTGTTTTTATTTCTCAGGAAGCAAATGATTCACAGCATTGGTGGGATACAGAGGTCTTACAATACTGGGCCGAAACATTCATTTTCCTGAAACGTTTGATCTCTTATTAATTAGTAGTACAACAGCTTAGAATACATAAGTACCCATTTATAAAAATGTGGGAAAAACAATTGTTGAAAACGATGTTTGTAGGAAAGTACATTTTATTTAGTAAAGCAAATTTCTTTTTTTTTAATATTTTTATAATAAACTACACACCTTACTAAATCACAATTGCTAATTATGTCAAAAATTATTTATCACATTTATAACATTCTGTACAAAGTAAAAAAATATTTTCATACTTCAACTATGCAATACAAAAACAAAGCTGCTTTAAAATTACTAGTTGAAATTGATCCGTTACAAAAGGGTTGTGATGAGTAACAGTAAATATTATTTATTTATAATAGAGGCAAACCGTTACATCAAAAATTCAATAAATATACAGTCATAACACTTTTTGTACGCACGTAACGAACGCCATCCTTGTATCATGAGTGATGCCACAGCTGTTACTTGTACACACAAATTATCATAACTATTTCAATCTATGTCCGACGGTTATAAATATTATTATAACAAAAGTGATAAATTATAAATAACACAAAAACTACCTTACAAGGACTTACAAACTTCATAAGGAGTGAAATTTAAGGTTCTTACAACAAATCTCTAACGATTTAGTTCAGGATATATGGATTCGAAACTTATGTGTAATTATTGCAATATTTTCGAGGAATTTTTATAGTTACATTTTCACAACATGACAACGATCTTAAATCTTTACATTAGTAACTTATAAATACAGTGTATGGTTCATAGTAAAGAAATGGATTCTCTTTTTTAACTTTACCTAATATTGAAAACGTTAACAATTCACATAATTATAGCTATTAATCTTCGTTAACATATAATATTAGCGGACACGTAATAGTTATATCTTATTTGATATGTTGATAATTTGCATTATTACTCTTTTAATTATTGCAGAAGCCAAGGCAAGACATTGACGTTAACAATAATGTACCCTAAACAAAGCAGACAAGAACACCTCAAACTGAACGCTGTAGGCACGAAAAGAGAACACATAATCCTACCGTGAAGTACCGCAGTGTGGTGATGCCGATTGACCCCGTGTGGAGCAACCGGCACCTCCCTCGGCCCCAGACGCCCCCGCTCCCACCCGTGCGCGTGACGCATCCGACTATACAAAAACATATTTTTATAATAATTATGCAAAAACAATTATACAACCCTGCTAAATTTGAACTGTTCTCCAAAATGGGGACACTAAAAATGCAAAATTGTGATTTGTGACAATGATCGTAGAGAAACAATCAAATATATTCTATAGGGACACTCGAATTATTACAAATTAATTTACAATATACTCAATCTCTAAATTATCAACTAATAACATAAAATGAAATTATTTACAAAATATGCGCACATCAAATGTGACATGCCAACTCTTACATATTTGTTATTATTTACAATGACTATTATAGACATTAATTTTAAGGAGCATTGCATTTTCGTGAGCTTGATCAAAACAATACCTTGTTCAATAGATATTATCAAAACGGGTCATTATGCACACAAAATGTGTTAAGTCATTCACAATAACAACTCATTTACTTTGGGTTATATTTTATCGTTGAGACGGTAATCAATGTTTATACTAACAATTCGGACTTTGTAGGGCTTCATCAACCCTCACCAAAATTCATACAATTATTAGAAGCCCAACAAACGGTTAGCAATAGAAATCAGTCTTGGATCAGGAAACAAATCAGTACGTAATTTTTAAGTTTATTGAATTTCACGATTTTTACTACCATGATATTCATTTTTTTTTTGGGAAATTATTCCAGTAGTTTGTTATAATTTATTAATACAAAGATCGAACACAGAAAAAATCCTTTGATCACTTGAAACACTTCCGGCACAGTATGCTTGAAGGCTCTGGTTCGAATCCAGCCAGATCGAGGAAATTTTTCTTAGTGTTCGATCTTTGTATTAATAATTCTAACAAATTAGTACGTTTTATAGAAATTCGTCACACTCCGATTTCAACTGTGAACAGAGTTTAGGAGTCACATTGGCTTACGATTAACAAGTGGGGCTATCCACTAATCTATTACGTACACTGATGGTAGTTTATGGAAGAATACAGAATCTAAGGGAATTCCATCACCAAGGAATCCGAAAAACTTAAGCCGCCTTCAAATTTGACGTTTACAGAAGCAGCAGCTGCACCACTAATAATTCTTATATATATTATCTAGTCTGCATAAGTGGCGCCCGCGTAACTCGATTGTCGCGCTGTAGCTGCGCTTCCAAATATTATATGAAATTATTAATACAAAGATCGGACATTTAGAAAAAATCCTTCGATCTGGCTGGATTCGAATCAACGTCTTCCAGCAAACCATGCTAGACGCTATGCCAACTACGCCACTTTTTATCAACCAACCAAATTCTTCTATGTTTATGTTTTGTCTTTGTTTTCGTTTTTTTAACGGCTTTTTTGCCGTAGCGCCATCTGTGACAATCGTGTATGAAAATTAGTAGTGACGCTTCCAGAAGCGTCTAATTTGAAGGCGCCCAAGCCAAATTACATCGCTTATTTTTATCACACAGTTAATAGTCACCCAGTCTTATTGTTATATTGTTATGGGCACAAAACAGCAGCAGACGCAGCTTAAATACATATATTCTAAACATATATTAAACAAATAGTCAAAACAAACACGTGCACCACAATGTAGTTATTATGGAATTCCACAACATTCAACAATTGCTTTCTAATGTTAATGTTACCTACAATTTGACATAATTTTATAAAATATGCTCTTACTTGTACTAAAAAAGATGTACTAAATGTTCTAATGGAGATAAGATGTTACTACAGTGACGAAGATATAAAATGAACTGACTAGAATCGGTTAAGCGGAAAATACGCGTGCACAAGACAATAACAATGACAACGCCTATGCCTCTTGCAGTGTTTTAATTTGTCATAATCGAGTGAAATTGCGTAATTTGTCGCGTTCATCCGCTAAGTCCATCCATAGTTTTAAAGTATGATGTCAAAAAAATTACCAAAAATGTGTAATCGCACATGAGATATTGTAGCCTTGTGTATCATTTGTATTTTTATTTGTTTACCCCAATATCCCACAAAAATAGACAAATTTTCCAATAAAAAATATTTAAATCTGTGATGTCATTATCACGGAAAACAAAAACAACAACACAATCTTCGTCACTATGCAAATACAAACTAATGAAGGTTTCAACGAATTGTGACGATGGCTACTAGGGCTTTCTTACACCATATTTCGATTTCGTCTGGCACAAATATTTTGTACAAATCATAACCTGCTGCTGTCACCAATAAATCATTCATGGAATTCCCTCGAAATTCTTACACATACGCTACTTGTCCAAAAATAATGGCACTTTCAATTTATACAATACAATATGTACAAGTAAACAAAAGAAATGGAATACGTTACAATTTTTCATAAATTTTATTAGTCAAATGTGTTGGATCTAAATTATATTGTTGATCATTAAATCACAATCTATTTACAAATTTTAACTAGTTCAGCTTCCTCTTCCACATTGTTTTCGACATAACAATTTCAAATATGCATAATATATTGATTGTACTTGAACATTGACAAGATGTTCTAGATAATATCACACACATCGATCATACCTAGTGCTCTGGAATGTGTGATATGTATATAACAATAAAATGTCGAGTAAATAAATTGAAAGTGCAATTACTCTTAAACATTACAAATCAAAAGTCACCGCTCTAATAAGTTAGTCCACTAAGCGCACATAAGAATAACGTCATAGGTCATATATTTCGATCTACGATCAAAACGTCCGTGAAATTCATACTCGCCACGCGCCACGGCGGGTATACCCATGGCACGCGAACGGATTGGTTCAGGTCGGTATATACGCAATTTAAACCTGACACTTTGGTACTAATGGACAGATCGCACGTCGATCGGACGTCGTCAACTGTACAAGCTGGGCCTCGCCCCGGCAGGTGGTGACGCGCGCTACCGATCGAGGCGGAAGCCGGGTCGAGCCACTGGTGCCGAGACGGCTTTGGCCGAGCCCTACTTGTCGGCAGGCTCGGGCGGCGCGCCACCGAAATCCAATTGATAGCCGCCGGCACGCGTCATCTCCTCCATACTGGGCTCTTTGCATTCGTGACCGGCGTGGCCCGCCGCGCCGCAGTTCCAGCAGGACAGTTTCGGCGGCGCGTACACCACCGGCATGAAGCCGCCGTATTGTGGCGGCGTGGGATAGTGCGGGGGTTCCCCGTTGGCGAAAGGCGGCGGCGGCGCTCGGAATGCCGGCGGCGGCGTGGGGTAGGCGAACGGCCGGGGGTACGGAAGGAAGGGCCCGGGCGGCGGCGCAGAGGGCGTCGCGCGGCGAGGGGGGGGCGCCGGCGTGCCGGGTGGGGACGGAGGCGCGCTGGACCCGCTGTCCGACGACGAGAGCGGCGGCGGGCAGAACGCGCCCGCTCGTCTCCGGACGCCGTTCAGTTTCTCGAGGGACCGATACTGATGCTGCACCGCTAGTTCGCGCAACCTTTCGTCGCCGATGCTATGTCGCATCTGAAACATCGTAAACGAGTCGAATTGGGGACGAGCCGGATGACAACTGTAGACGAAAACCGGTGAGCACGAGAAGGGTCGCGAATACGAAGGAAGCGACGGTCGGCTCAGAGTCGCCGGAGCGCTCACCTCGCCCACGGTGAGATTGTCGAAGGTGGCCGCGAGGTGCGCGAGCGCGGGCTGCGGCGGTTCCAGGGGCGGCCCGGGCAGCGCGGGAGGCGCGGGGGGCGCGGGCGGCGGCGGGCTGCGGTCACGCGACGGGCGACGGCGGGCGCGCGGCGACGCGGCGCGACTGTCGCCCGGTGATGACACCAGCGGCGACGTCGGCGCGGCGCCAGCCATCGGGTAGTTTATTACCTACAAGCAAAATACGGTGATCTTCAGTAGGGCTAGCACGATAGAGACGAGATACTGCTATTCTCGCGCATTATCGCGCGAGCCCTACAAAAACGCAAACAAAATACTGGGTATTATTGTGAAACCAAAGGCAATACCAACTTTGGGTATAACAAAATCTAATGCGACCTGACAGTCTGTTTGTCGCATTCAAGAATGATTCGAAACCTACTTAAAAGCAAGTACTAATTGGCAACATTACATAGTAAACTGGCACTGACGGCAAAAAAGCCGTTTAAACCCAGTACAAGCACATAGGGAAAATTCGTAAGATCTACTAACTCGGTCTGTAACTCAATTGACAAGAGCGGTGGCCCCGAAATGGCAACAGACGCTGGTTCGAGTCCAGTCAAATTGAAGGATTTTTTGTTTGTGTTGTTCCATGTTTGTAGTTATTAATCATAGTAGTGAGGTATTTTCACAAAAAATATATGAATATCGTAGTATTAAAACATCATGATATTCTATTAATACTTATTGAATGGAGTTCTTATTACAATGTTTTAAGAAAGTACTTATTTATAAAGTGTTCTTGGTGTAACACAATACTGTATTTTTTTATTATCAGTCGCAAATAGCGGCAGTGTGTTTTACAGCACAACATTCTTCATTGACATATTTGTAGCAATATTAAAAACTATACTGAGAAAATAATGCCTAACTAAATGTTATCTATTTTCATAAAATAATTCCTTGTTTAAATATCTGTAAATGTACTAAAAAGGTGCACGTAGCACTATTTATTTACACATTTCACGTCGACAATCCGCATTTGGCCAGCATTGTTGATGGCCTAAGGGCGAGTTCCCATTATGTCATAACGTTTTAGTTATCGTTTGACAACTGTCGCATTTAGCCTGTTCCCATATAACGACTATCTGTCGTGAGCGTTTACTTTATCGTTGAAGGACTGTCGTGTCTAGCTGTTGCTACTAGATCGTGACGACAATTTATCGTTTATGAGAAAAAATTTGTCGTTTGCACAACAGAACCTTTTCAAGTTGCTATTGTCTGTCGTCACATTTTAATCGTGACGTTTTATTTATCGTGTGACGACGGGTGTTCCAGCTCTTCCCATCGTCTTCGTAAATTGTAATAATTGCAGTTATTATAATTGTAAAAATAAAAAATTGTTTTGTTTTCGTAAAAAGTCGTGAATGACAGTTGTACTACATGTGAACAACTTCATTTAAATACAAGGCACAACACTTTAAACTGCACGACTACCTGTCGTCACGACATAATGGGAACGCGCCCTAAATCTATTTCTTAGAGGAAATCCTGCGCTAGAACATTTAAGTAACGTGTGTTGAGAGTAGGAACTCGCTTCAGGTCCCACTGAACACTGGCGTCAAATCATAAAAGTCAAAAGTACATGTTTTTAACTGAAGTTCATCTGTTTCTCTCATTATTGTCAAATTTAAAACTGTAAGAGCTGTCAAATTACTAGACTTCCTATATCATAAGATTTTAATTTAACGGACATTTATTTTATATTCACACATTTGCTTTTACCTATTCTTAAAGTAATGCATCGTAATTAACACCCATGATAAGAAATTTAAAATAAATACAAAGTTGTGCCATCTCCTGAATAATCACTCTTTATAAGATACGAGTTTGAGAAAGTACGGCATCGAAATTATAAATGCTATTACACAGCGTAGTCTTTTTACACGTGCAGTCTGTGGGTTGGCTGTACGCGAAGGACATACAACGCGCAATATAGCGCGGGCTGGGGCTGCCGCGCTACTGCAGCGACTCGGGTATGTTCGCGGAGGCGCACACAGACGGGTTTGCAGCCATCATGCACAAGAGGTGTACCACGATGCTATGCCGCCTGCGCAACAGCCCCAACCGCATCCTGAGCACGTTGTCCGCACGTTGGAACTCGGCGTTGTTAGCTCATTGGATGCGACTGCATGCCGTCGTCGCATAGTATTGTTAATATAATGTTATATTTATTTTGTGTTGCTGTATTTGTATTGTGTACCCTTAGACTTAACATTTTGTAATTTACTAACTTACTAACTTATATATATCTATATATATATATATATATATATATATATATATATATAAATTTTTATATAATTTTATATATTGTATACTTTTTATATAATATCGAGTGACGGGACGAACAAGTCGTGCGCCTGGTGGTAAGCTACACGTCTGTCCATAACAGTTGCAGTGCCACTCAAGAGCTTTAAATCGCAAAGATCTGAGGGGCATTGACACTGCACCTGTCACCCTGAGACGTAAGTCGTCAAGTCCCGTGTGCCTGTAATTTTACCAGCACGCCTACCCTTTAAAACCTGAACGCAGTAACGCTCACATTACTGCTTGGCGGCAGAAATAGATTAGGTGGCAGTGCTTCCCATGTAGACGTATAGTAATACAACTGTTTCAAGATGATTCAACATTTCTTCAGTGTGTAAATTCAAAATCTAATACGAAAGCTTGTACTTCATCTCTCACTTTGAATAACAGAACATGTAAAAGCCTCTAAAAAGGCCAAGCAGAAAACTCAAAACTGGTGAAATCCAAAAAGGGCACCACCAATAGGAAAAGTTTTAGACATCTTATAGTACAAAAATAAGCAAAGAAGTATAACTTACCTCTATTGGTTGATTAATGGGTGAAATGATGATATTTGCAGGCCAAGGGTGCTGCCCTATGAACTCAGGTATGCTGTAGGGGGGCAGAGGCAAGCCGGGAGGGGGGTGCGTCACCTCTCCCAGCATAGAAACCACTCCTCCTGCCCCGCTCAGCACTGGTGGTGAGCCGAGTTCTGGTACTGGGTCTGTGCTTTGGGGCTGGAATAATAGTAAAATTGACTATAATTATTTTGGTGTACAAAAGTTACTAATTATATATAAACAAACAAATATGTTGTTTTTATAACCAAATTTATTCAGGAACATCCTAAACATACCCATTTCAATAAAAAAATATCATCAATATTGGTTCACAAAAGCATGTATAATAAATACATAATATATGAAGTAAAACAAAAATAAAATAAAAAATTAAGATCACCATTTTGTCAAAAAATTACTGTTTTTATACACGGTATTATCAAACCAATGAAGAAATGATGGCTCCTTGCAATTCTTATAGGAAAGCTGTCCTAGGCAATAAGCATGGTAAATACAGTATTACAGAATCATTACAATGTTATGCCATAAAATGAAATATATATCACAAAACCCAGAAGATAAATACAATATGATAACCATACCAGCACAACATTGCACAAAATTAAAACAATAATGTTAATAACTTCACAGAAACTCGGCCTCTCTCTACTATGATTTCATTTGGATTTGAACATACAAACCAATATAAAACTAATGAGATTCAACTGTAAGATCCATAAGCATTTTTGTGTTTCAATATAGACACAAGTGAAAATTACTGATTGAGCTTACATGTTACGACATACAACAATACTGGGAGGTAATAAATTTTCTATTGTTACGTTAAGCAAAAAGGTTGTTGCTGATCTTAGATATTAAAAGATTAAGAGAAAACTGGATTGCTAATTATGGGCCAGTAATTATATCCCAATAATAGAAATTAATAAAAAAAATCTAAATTATGCACCAGACAATCCAACCAATACATGGTGGTTTGGTAAGAATATCAAAGTAATAAATGCAGGGACACTATATGCCAGGAAAGCAAAACGTATAGACCAAAATAAAACTTCACCTGGCACTTAAATTTCTCCTGAATTATGCACAAATAATAGAATTGATATATATACACAAATACAATAATGATAATGGTAGTTCTAAATAAGGCATTTATTTTATTTTTAATTTTCACGATTACTGCAATTTTGTTTTAATTTCTTTTTCTAAAATATTATTTTCAACAATTGATTGTAGTTTATGTGCTTTAGCATGTGAAATAAAGTGCATTTCAATTATTTTATTTTATTTATATAGTTGTCAGTAACATGATAATGATATTTGTAATTTTTCTGCAATATGGTGCTAACACTATTTTTAGAAAGATATTTAGACTGCATAATTCTTGGTTATTTCAGAATAGAATAAAAATATAGTCATGGATTTTACCATTTTTTTTTATTTTATAAAACTTTCCAGGTAGATAATCAACAGTACAAAAAATAAGATTGATGAAAAAATGAGGAAAAGCAGGCAGAATTAATTTTGTCTACCATCCCAATGATATTCAAAAAAACTGAAACTCATAATTAACTCATAATGACAACAAATTGAGCCAACACATTTGCTATATCAATGTCTCAACAGGTGGAAAGGATAATTGTTGCTTATTTATTATATAGGATTATTGATAGTAAGCTGTATATAGGCGGAAGAGGCATAAATTCAATGCCATACTTTCTCAAACTCATATCTTATAAAGAGTGATCATTCAGGAGATAGCAAAACTTTCTATTTTTTGAAATTTCTTATCAAGGGTACTAATTTGGATGCATTACTTTAAGAATAGGTAATAATCAATGTGTAATTTATGAAGGAAATGTGATATGAAATCAGCCTGCAAAATGTGTACATACAATCCAATTTTTGCATTTCAGTAACTTTGTGCTTTAACATAAGACTTTGAGAAAGTAAGGCGACGAATTTTAAATGTTCTGGTTTGACTTATGAACAGCATCAGCGTCCCATGTAAAGGTACCTTATTGGGGTATTTTAAATGGAACTTGGTGACTATGCTCACCTCCTTGAAAAATTGATTCAAAATTTTAAAAGTGGTGACTTAAAATTTTGAATTATATTTGAATCCACTTTTCCTTCCCTATCCTTACACTGGTTTGTTCCATCATCACTCTCATCAAAATTCTCAAAACGAGAGGACATGCTCATATATCATCACCCTTATTTAATTCCAAACTTCACTTGGAATTGTGATTTACTGTTTAATCACATAGTTATAATAGACCCCTTTGGGCTTTTCATTTTGAATTAAAGTAAATTATGGAGATCAACTACAGCTTTATACAAGCACCAAATGATTGTGTACTTTATTAACCCATAACCTATGACTGCTAAGCACTGGACTCTGAGGGTCGTATTCTAGAACTCTATTCAATGTTCAAGTCAAGATTGCACTGGCAACACAAGCACTGGAAATATGACTCTAATGGCAGGGACTTGAGTATGATTTCTAGTGCTTTAAATTATACTCAAGTCCTGACTCGAGCATTGGTAGAGTTCTGGAATATGACCCTGAGTGTTCAACGGTCGATGTATGTATACATCTTAAACAGGCAATTATAACTTACAACTGACACTTTAATAACTATGTACATATAAAGTAATAAATTAATTATAATTCAATGGAAAACTATGACCATGATTTCAATACCTCCAATGAATATTACACCAACTTCATTTTTGGACCTGTTCTGTTTTTACTTTGTTTATTTCTTTCCCAAAATTAGAGGACCATAAAGTGAGTAAATAAATATGACTGTTTACAAAAATAACAGAAACTGACCAAAAAATAAAGTTGGCAAAATGTTCATTGCACTGAGAATTTACTCTAGTGATGTTGAATTTGAAGGCCCTGGTGGCCCAACGCTTAGCACTGTGGATGCTGGACAAGGAGGGCTCAAGTTCGATTCCTGGAAGGACCGATTCAGGAAATGAACTTTTCAAAATGGGTTCTGGTCTGGATGTTTTGGGTAGTAGTAGTAAATGCCCTGGTTTTTGACCAAGTAACGGGTGTGATTGTCTTGCACATTATTATTATTAAATGGTACTCTCAATGTGATTAAGAAAGTGTGGAAATAGAGAAAAGCATGGAAATAACAATAATGACACTCACCTGCACCCCAGGCTTAACAAATATCAAACCAGGTGGTGGGCCCATATTAGACATGTTAGGCGGTGGAACTGACATATTAGGGGTGACATTGGCTTGTGTATGGCAACCACTCACTGGTGTAACATTTATGTGTTCTTGCTGCTCCTGGTACTGTAATCTCTGGTCCTCCACATTCAATTTTTCCAATATTTCCCGAAAATGTGTCTTCTGGTCAAATGTGAAAGCTGGATGGTGAAGAGCCATTGTGTACAACAACAAGATTTCCTCCAACAGGTCCCCGTACAAGCCTTTTAACAGTCCACTCTGCTCTAAACTGACCATAGCGTTGTACAATGTAGTAGCACACGCGAAATTGCACGACCTCAGCAACGACACGTAAAGGGCCATTTTCCGTCGAGTCCTGGGGTCTGTGTTCGCGCCTCCAATGTCTGCCGCCAAGTCTGTGGGGTTGTTCGCTCTGAGTTCGGCACCACGCAACTCCTGAAAGTCCCGCTTACCGAGCTCCTCGAGGTACGTGCCAATGAAACGCAGTTCAAACGGCAGGCACATATTTAATAATGTACACATCGCATCTATTCGTTTATAGCTTTCTAATTCTTTAAACCATGATACCACGTCCTCTTTGCAAACCATTTCCAGAACACATTGAAATTTTATGTAAAGAATCAACCGATCCCCTGCTGCCGAAGCGCTTCCGTTGCTTATGATGTTTGGCACAGACGGTTCTTGTGATAATATGATGGTTGTAATCTACGAATTGTCGATTGTAACATTAGTAATATAGCTTTTTATCAGTATTTCCCGAAGTACAGTATATTGGTTAAGCAACTACGAGCAATGCTAGTAGAGTAGTTTTGTCTTGTCTATTCTTCAGTGTTCCCAACGCAGGAAAACATAGTCAAAAACGACAGAAGTCACCAAAAAGACGCAGTCAGTTCATTTTTTTTTTAATTAGAGTCTATGTTGTCGGCCACGGAGTAAAAGCAGGCAAAAGTTGCAATTTCTACGCATAGATAATGGAATAGCATTGGGCATGGGTAAAAAATATCGATATTTTTTCATTAAATATCGTCGATATGTTTTATCGCAGCCAGAGCATGTATGTTACAATATTTTAAAATAATATCAATACATCTTAGAGCATACCACACAGGAATCGCCATTCATAAGCAGTTCCCTGTCAAAGTATCATAAATACTACATTCGAATCGATTTTTTTTGCATATCCGCTATCGAATTCATTGCATCAAGTGCTCCACGAAATAAGCCGTCTTACACCGTAGTAACTTGTAAAAATAACTGCTGCTATATACAGTCTAGCCAAGGATGGACTTGCGTTCCATTACATATACAAACCTACAAGTAAGACTCACAGATAGAAATGGTGGAAAAAAGATATTTATACTGTTGTACGCGGATAGGTTCCAAAGTAAACAATCAAATATGAGAAGACCTGAATGTGGAAAATATGAAAGAGTGATCAACGGCCTGCAAAAACTATAATATATGGAGAGGATATTTGTGCACTTTTATAAGGTACACCCTGGGCAATTTCCGCCGAATGTAAAAAATGTTCGAAATTCAAATAAACAAGATGGTCGCCAAATTTCAAGATCTACTATAACGGAAACTATTAGAGATAGGTACGAGATGCTCGAAGGAATATCATAGAGTGTAACAGTGGTCAACTGTCTGTATCAAAAATTTCAAGATGGCGAATTGAAAATGGCGACCGAATAAAAACTTGCTTCGATCCGGCTGAAAATTGGTATGGGGGGGTCTTTAGGAGTTCTTAATCATAATTAGGGGCCATAAGTGTTTTGCGCCAGTTTTTAATATGGCTGTCATACAAACGTTTTTCGCGGTAGATAATTTTTTTTCTAATTCAACTTTTGAAAATGGCATGGCTTCAATCATAATTTCGGGTAAAAAAAATTCGAGATTAAATCGGGTATAAAAATTTTGTTTCCGTCGTTTTTCGAATAACCGTAATTTTTTATGTAATGGCTGTTGAAAAAACTTGCTTTGCTTGGACTGGAAATTGGCAAAAAAAGATTTGATAAAAACTAGTGGTAAAAAAATATTATTGCAATTTTTAAATATGGCCGCATTAAATTGTTATTTAAAATTTTTTAAACAAAGTGATAACTGCAGAGGCCGGAGGCCAAGATCCACGGAGGGCGAAGCCCGACGCGTACGCACGCTATCGCCATGGAGATAATATACGGAGGCGTAATAGATTACGAGTATAAGACCTCACAATTGTAAAAACGTAAGGCATACTTCCCGATGTAGTGGAAATGAGATACTTATTATAGCGTTGTTGTACTCGGTATTTGGTGCAATGGGCGTTGTTGTATCTCGACGGCAACAAATAAAAACAATGTTGCTGTTTCTAGCCGAGATGCAATAGTATTTTTTATTTATATGAATACTGTATGTTTGAGTAACCATTGGGGTATGCAGAGACCACCGCCTTCCACTACCTACGATCCTGATACTTCGCCTCATTAACACGCATCAATGCTCTCATAAACACTCTTGCGTTAGCAGTAAGTACTTTTACATTGTCTTTAATATTTTTTTTATGCCTCCAACACGTTCAATCCTGTTAATTTAATTTCCCGAATTTACTTTATAGGTGTATTTGGTAGATACAGTTTGGGAATATTTAAGTTTACGGCCTTTGGGAAAAATATCCATGTATAGAAATATCGATATATTTATCAAGATAAATATGAATACTGCTTGTGAATGTCAGTACGATATACACGATAGTTTTTAAAATACTAACAACCTCGCACAAAAGTAATATAATATTACTTATAACTCTTACAACAACTTTTGTTGCGTGATTTTTGACAAAACATGATAAATATACCAGAAATAAACTTTTTTGTACTATCTGACGCTTTGTAGGTCTGTAATTGGTAATGCGGTAGTAAGTTCTAACGTGCAAGCGTCCTCTCCGACGACTCTTGCATTTTGTACAAAGTTATCACCGTTTAGAACTAAGTAAAATCTGGCGAAATCTGGCGAATTATTAAAAGTCATGAAACAAAAGTTTTATGATGTTAGTAATACAGTTTCGCGAAGTTGTTTGTATTTTGCAAATAATCCCGTATACTGTAAAATGTTTATCAATTACCCATCCCTAGGTGGGATAAGATCAAGAAAGCAGATTAATTTATAGGCATGGAAAAGTGTAGGAATGAAACCAAGTTGGTTATTTATTGCATAATCATAACCAACATTCAATCGATAGTCGATAGAATATTTTCGACTAGAATCACTAGCTGTTTACAAGCGGGCAACACTTTTGCGACATAGACTGTCATTTTACTCCATCTTCAAAAAAGACAGTTTAAAAAAAAATAGTTTGGTTCGCCTGTCTGATTTTTTATTTGCTGTTCAGCACACTTATACAAAATTAATGAATTAGCGCAACATCGTAAAATATTTGCAATAATATATATCGCACTGCTATTACCAAGAACGGTACGTAGAATACATTATGTATTCTATGTAACACACGTCAAGCTTGACACTTAATACTTTGGACTGTTCTTATCGTAAGCGGCATAGAGTTGGATTTAAATCTTAAGTGTCAAGCTTGGCGTGCTCTTGACTTGATTTGTCTATATTTTTTTAAATTAATTTGATAGACGTGTAACATAACTCAAATTACTGTATTGTAATTAACAGCACGCCCTATACATTAAGTTAATCATAGACGTGTAACATAACTCAAATTACTGTATTGTAATTAACAGCACGCCCTATACATTAAGTTAATCATTTATAACAAAATAGTTAAAAAGTTTTGTTTGTCTGCTTTGTTGCCAGGTTCGTAAAATGTATCCGAACAAGTTACTTGCGTTTTTTTTGACATTGATTGCATGAATGAAATAAATGTCAAATCATTCATTTTGTTGTATTGCGAGTGCGTTTGTTGCACAGAAATTTTGGTAATATAAAGTTTTTCTGTGTTATCTAGTTTTAAAATGGCTCCTGTGGAACAAGATGTGGAAATGAAGAATGTTGAAAGTCCCGCGGCAGCCAGCGACGAGGGAACAGGTGAAGTGAAAAAAGATGCCGATGTCCTCAGCGTTCAGGATTTGAGGGAGCATGTCAGACAAATCGACAAAGCGGTAACATCCAAGGAACCTCGATTTGCTATGCGTGTGTTACGGTCACTACCAAGTACAAGGAGGAAGTTAAATGGCAACGTCCTGCGAGCGATTATTAACCAACTGTACCCCTCAAATGCGGACAAAGAGACTTTGCTTGCTTTTGTAGAAAGCCCTGCTCCTGGTTCCGTAGAGATCGAAACCCCACGCTCTAGAAGTGCTCCGAAAACGCCAGTTCCGGAGGTTGATGTCTATCTGCACCTTTTAGTACTCTTGCGCTTGCTTGACACAAACAAATTGCAAGAAGCCAGTGATTGTTCCCAGCAGCTTATGAATAAAATAACCTCTCAAAACCGAAGAACTCTAGATTTAATTGCTGCTAAATGCTATTTTTACCACTCAAGAGTATTTGAGTTGACCAACAAACTGGATCTTGTCAGGGGATTGCTTCATGCTCGTCTAAGGACTTCCACACTACGAAATGACTTTGAAGGGCAAGCTGTCCTTATTAATTGCCTTTTACGTAATTACTTGCATTACTCTCTGTATGATCAAGCTGATAAGTTAGTCAGCAAGTCCGTTTTCCCTGAAAATGCAAGCAACAATGAGTGGGCGAGATTTATGTATTACCTTGGAAGGATAAAGGCAGCCCGCCTCGAGTACAGTGATGCACATAAACATCTTGTGCAAGCTCTCAGGAAGGCCCCACAAACTGCTGCTGTAGGCTTTCGTCAGACTGTGCAGAAGCTGGCCATTGTTGTAGAACTTCTGCTAGGTGACATCCCTGAGCGTGCTATTTTCAGACAAGCTCCTCTCAGAAAAGCTTTGGCACCATACTTCCAGTTGACGCAAGCTGTAAGACTGGGCAATCTTCAAAGATTTGGTGAAGTACTTGAAAACTTTGGCCCTCAATTCCGCACGGACCACACTTTTACGCTGATTCTTCGTTTGAGACAGAATGTCATCAAGACTGCTATTCGGTCTATTGGACTTTCTTACTCCCGCATTTCTCCAAAAGACATTGCTAGGAAACTGGGTTTGGATTCAGCTGAAGACGCAGAGTTCATTGTTGCAAAGGCAATCAGGGATGGTGTGATTGAAGCTACTCTGGACCCTGTGAAGGGGTACATGAGCAACAAGGAGAGCTCTGATATTTACTGCACTAGGGAGCCTCAGTTAGCTTTCCATCAGCGTATTTCATTTTGTCTGGATTTGCACAACCAGAGTGTGAAGGCAATGAGATATCCACCAAAATCATATGGTAAAGAATTAGAGAGCGCTGAAGAACGGCGCGAACGAGAACAGCAAGATCTTGAACTGGCTAAAGAAATGGCTGAAGAGGATGATGATGGTTTCCCTTAAAATCTTACATAGTAGTTAATTGTATTTCTAAATAATTCATTGCAATTTCATGTTCTACTTAACAAATGTTTTGAGATAATTAAAATATAAAAGTGTACTCATATACAGTCTTTATTTTAGAATTCTTTTACAGTAATTCTCTGAAATAAATAATAACTTGCTTAAGAAATTAAGGTTAATCAAATTGCAATTAAAATGTGAATGCAGCATGAGAAGAAAGCAATGGCTTCTCCTTTTTTTTTTTCTTGGTATATGTTATAGCCACTAATAGTAGATTGTACAACAAGTGCATAAAACGCGTAATTTTACCCGAGACGAGTATATCCTCATCTCGGGTATATACGGGGGTATACTTGATTGTTTAATTAACATACCCATTATTCATTTTAATATGAAAATGAATACACTGCAATACACATTGTTTATTATTTTATCTATGTTACTATAGTAACGCAAATGTTGTTGACGCGTCAATGGGTTAGAACGGTTGATGTTGATTATTATTGATCGTCTGCAATAAGATCAATTTTATTGTAATAGACATTATTTTTTATTTATTATATAATTTCTCGATACTCCTTCGTTAAATATCAGAGCAATAATAAGTTAACTTCAAAATGGAATTCACGCCATCGCAAATGCAGGCGTTAGCTACTTTATTGAGACCACCTGAACCTGAGGTATTACAAGGAGAGGATTTACAATCTACAGGTACGGATTTTGTTATTTACTTTGTTCTCCATGTAGCATTATATCATATTTTCTTTACAGTATCTCCACGTACTCTTATTGTTTTATAATGCAACTTAAGTTTGTGGTTGCAAAGTTAAGTGGGTCTTTATGTGATGAGGCATCGATTTTGATTATCAGGTGGACGTGGTGCGGACTAGTTTGAGAATAAAACTTTTTCATAACTGGTTATTGCCTGGGTTTTGTATACCATCCTTCCACGGCTACAGAACGGCTTGGACATTATTCAAACAGCCATTATTCATAGTGACCGATCTTTTAAAAATGCCCGTGACATATGTTTTAGATCCGATCCGTCTTAAATTTTCTAGCCTGGATTCAAGGTGCTACTGTGGTGATTGTCTGTCACATTTAGAATAGAACAAAAAATAATTTATTCCAATACGTGTTTCTTGACATTAGATGTAGGTATTGTATATTTTCAGAATACGAAATAACGTCAACAAGAGACAAACTGCCGCAATCTGATAAAATAAAATCTCCGAAGACAATCGAAGAGTATGAAGAGCAGGAGGCAAAGGAGGCCGAAGAGCTTAGCAGGGCTGGTGCCGCCATTGCAGACCGCAAGGTGCCTGAGTACACTATGAATTATCAACAATCGGTTTCTGCTGAGGATGTTTTCCTTCAGGTACGCTAATCACATTTGGATCAAACCGGAGCCGTTCATTTAATACAACATAATACAAATAAACAAGAACAAAACAAAAAGGCCTGCAACAGACGAACTTACTACTAGATATCAATAGCTTCCGGGGGTGACAGGACAAACAAAATTAATGATAATAGATTGTGTATTTATCGAGTTCTTAGGTTTTCGCGATTGTTACACATAGGAAATGAAACTATTTTTCCGGATTTAAATCGCGTATATTTGTTTTTTCAAACAAACCGACGTTTCGGGCCCTTTACAGGTCCCATGGTCACGGTTGACTGAGGTGGTACAGTCTTCAACCAGTTATGTCTAATATTAATGCAAACCACCCTATTTTTTCACTATAGTTACAATAGTTATTAATTAAATACCTTATTTTTAATTTTACAAAGAAAACATTCCAATTTACGCTACATTAAGTTTTACAAATTATTTTATTGAATGAATTTTTATTAAGTTTAATTTATTATTAATTATTAATAGAAATTAGAATAAACTAAAACATATTAATTAGTACTGCAGTCTTATGTCTGTTTGTGATTTTTCATTAGAGGAAATACTGGATCCCAAACTGGTGGTACGGAGAAACCATCTTCCCTGTTGAAATTAGGATGTTTTTTAATTTCAATGGCCTCTCGCAGCATCCTGGGTAGATAACGGACTTCTTTTGCAAGGACCTGGGGTTTGTCAAACTTCATTGAATGTGTAGGTTTATCCATGACATGCTCGCAAAGTCAAACACACGTCTGCAGTCTGCGAATATTAGACATAACTGGTTGAAGACTGTACCACCTCAGTCAACCGTGACCATGGGACCTGTAAAGGGCCCGAAACGTCGGTTTGTTTGAAAAAACAAATATACGCGATTTAAATCCGGAAAAATAGTTTCATTTCCTAGATTGTGTATTTTCAAAAATATTTTGGTTTACAACAAAAGAACATATAGATGCAAGATGAGATCACCGACTGTCAAAAGTAAGGTTACCAGTGACACGAGAGCCAGTCTCCTCCGGCTTCATGCATTTAAACTGGCAACCTTACAACTACATAGGGTACAAAGTATTTTTTTAATAAAATTTGAAAAAGCAGTTAGGATAAAAGCAAAATAAAATAAAGAATTAAAAAAGATAAAAGATTGAACAGTAAAAATGACATGGTATTCAGGACATTAATGTTGGAGAATGAGCATATTACATGAACTGTTAAATAGATAGTAAACAAATTCAAGTGCAGTTATTTTCACTCATCAGCTCCGTTTAGCGTGTCAAGAAATATATTAAAGCAATAAAATTAGAAAATTATGTCATACAATATCCGTCAGACTCCTGGCCTTTGAATTGGTAAAATACAGGTGCTATATCGTCGCCTTAGAGAGAAAACCTCGTATACGCGTTTTCACATATTTTACTGATTTTTGTTGAAGAAAACCGTATTCACTTCTTGCTTACCTAAATGTATTATTAAAGTAATATAGTACCTGAAAGAGGTACATATAATTTAACTAATTAAAATACTAACTTGCGTTTGCTAAATTTTACACCACATCTTTATCTTGGTCCAGAAAAATTACATAGAAATCACATACGAGGTATTCACTCTAAGACGACGATATGCAATTTAATTCACAATTATTACCCAGGTCCATTACCATTAATATTTTAAAATTACATTAAAACGTTAAACATAATACTTATATTAAATTTGTATTGAATTGATATTCAATTATTTTTTGTGAAATTACTTAAGAAAGTTCTACGATCTGGCCGGATTCGAACCGACGTCTTCTAGCAAACCTACATAACTACCTAAAAATAATACTTATACTTAATTAAAATGTATGTCAATCGACGACTTCGGTGGCACAACTGTTTGCACTGTTGACACTGGATGAGGACATCCCGGGTTCTGGAAATGAACTTTTCTAAATAGATTCTGATCTGGGTGTTCTGGGAAGTGCCCCAGTAGTAGTTTTGCTCTGGTACTCATGTACATGGCATTCCATAGCTTGAGACAAGGCTAATTGGTGTGGTTGTCTAGCAAATGAAATAAGTATGCTCCTGTTGTAAAATATTAACAATTTAAAGTATATGTACGTAAAAGTTGATATTGCTATGATGTAGCCTAATGTTATATGTGCTTAACATTTTATAGGTAACCTTGGTTTTGTCTTTATAGATTGGTCCAAAAACTACTTCTTCGGCAAGCTGCGAAAATCTGATATTGAAGATAAAAATGCCTGGAGATAGAAAAGAAAATGTTGATTTGGCGGTTGATACCGCGAGCGTCACCGTTAATTCTTCTCAGTATTCTTTGCGTCTACCGCTTCCTCATGGCATAGATCCCGACTTATCCAAAGCTAATTGGGATACTGCCAGTGAAACTTTGATCTTGACTCTTAAATTGGATAGGGAATTCGATTTTGTAAATTTTTAATTCTATTACTTACTGCATTTTCATTGAATTTCACGGTATTTTACATCCGTAATATTCACATATTTTTTGTGAAATAATTCCACTAGTTCATTATAATTATTAATACAAAAATCGAACACAAAGAAAAATTCCCACGACCTGACAAGACTTGACTGAACCGCGGTCGCACGCGCTGTACCGTAGCGTCGGTCTGCCAACTGAGCTAAAGGACGAGTCGGGGACTACAGAAACAATCAGTAACACGTTTAATAAAGCACATCAACGTCAGCTTGTGGTAGCTGTAAAGGTACCAGCAGGGTGAGAAGGTTCGTAAATCTCCCACAAGATGGCGCTTACGACGTTGAAAACAGCAACAAACCAATAGAATGATCTATAAGAGGCACCTAGAAGAATTTCGTCGACCTGCTACTGCTGCTACGGTACGAGTCCTGTCAACTCGAAGAAATTTTTCTTTGTGTTCGGTCTTTGTATTAATAATTCTTAATTCAATTTCCCACTTATTTTTTAGTTTTCTGTATAATTACGTTTACGAGCACAATTTTAATTAAAGAAGTTTTACATTTGTTATATTTTTTTATTTGCCTGTCAATGGTTAAACCTTGAGAATCACTCGCGTAGTGCGTTACAATGTTCACGCATTGTTTGTGACTTTAGAATTTAATTGCCTGTAGCCGATATAGGTTTACCTTACCATTTACCATCTATACTTAGTCATTATTATGCAGGTAAACGGAGTTCTCCACGCTCACCATACAAAATAACTTGATAACAATGTTGTGTTCCAGAAAGGCTCTATTTTTGCGCCGAATTACGTGTTGTGGGTATAAAAAACAAAATATTTATGTAGACCTATAAAAATAGATACCTTAACTGTAAGACACTCGTTCAGAATAATAATAATTCGCATACATTTTGACCTTGTTTAAGTGGTATTGTATACATAAGTGAATAGTCCGCTCATGATATTGAAATGTCGATTCAAGTGATATGTCCTCACACAGTATTTATAATTTGCGAGACATATGACATCGCCGCTGTAATTGAAAATAATCACATCAATCAATCAACGGTGTAAAAATCGTTTGATGCCCCAATTATAATTAGCAAGACTTCTACTCCAAGAAACAAGTCTTTAGAAAGAAAGAAACATTTATTCAGCCTATTAAGATTTAAACAGAAGAAATTAATGACTAAAAATTATAAATTTCTTGTCGAGCCCGTGACAAAAACCAATAAAAAACCAGCATTATATTTCTGTGGCCCAGTAAGCAGCCATCTCTATGCCCCTATCCGTTGCTTTTAGCAGATCTTCTCGAATGCGGTTTAGCGGGTTTCACCAACACCTGTACACTTCTAAACCGGAACGCAGTAATGCTAAAATTATTGCTTGGCGTCGGAAATAGGTAATAATCTCAGTACAGAGTACCTACTTAAAAAACCGACCTCAAAAATCATTGTTCCCCTAGTTTGCCACCCTTGAGAGTGGAATATTTTCTTCAAATTTAAATAGGACCACTACTGAGGTTACCGAGGGTACCTACCTTCTTTCCGATAAAAACAGAATCGTGAAAATCGGTTCACAAATGCCAGATCAGATAGCGTAATATACATACAAAAAAGAAACATACAATCGAATTGAGAATTTCCTCCTTTTTCGATGTTGGGCACAGACGCAGGTTTGATTCATGCACGCGGAATGAATTCTTTGTGTTCGATCTTTGTATTAATTAGTAATTATGTCGAAATTAAGTTTAGAAAACATAGCGCAACTACGTAACATTAGGTACATAAGAAAACTTCCAATGTCCATGTTTTTTGCCAATTTGTTTATTAGGCAGTTGTCCAGGGCTTGTATCGTCCGAGACCCACAGATCTGGGGCCTCTAGCATTTTACAAATCCCGCCATTATCGTCTCCAGCATAGTTCAAGGCGCCAATTTGAACGTACAGCGATTACAGACTACAGAGGAATTCCAAATGTATAATTTGTTGCGTGAGTATAATTGTTGTTATTTTTGTTTTGGTTGTTTTGAAAAAAATATCATTGAATGTAGATACGGATCTTTGTTTGATTTCTTGTTTTATAGTTTTTTGTATTAAAATTGTTCCGTGTATTTCAAAATCCTGATTTTATTATGATAGCAAGTGACGGGACCAAGCCTTGCGCCTGTCCATAACAGGGGCAATGCCGCTTAGAGCTTTGAATTGCAAAGATATAAGGGGTAGTGGCATTGCGCCCGTCACCCTGGGACAGAACAAAACCTATTTTTAGAGACGGTAAAGCTATACCACGATACTACACGCACAATATCACATTTCCTGTTTTATTGTCTCAACATTTGCTTTATTGTTTTAGCACTTTTGTTTCATTCAGTCACACGACAACGACGGTTAGTTATCGCAAAGTTAAAAAAACAATCTCAGTATAATCTGATCTCTGGATCCTGGTTATTAGTTACCTGTGCCATTGTATTTAGTAATTATAATTACGCGTATCTACAGGGTTATTTGCTAACAATCTCGCAGGACTATATTACTAACATCATAAACAACAACTTTTGTTCCACGACTTTTTACAATAATAATAAGTTTACCAAAAATAAACTTTTTTTGTTGTACTATCTGAAACTTTATAGATCTGTGTGTGGTAATAAGGTTTATAGTAAGTTCAAACGTGCAAGGGTCCTCCCCGAGGATCCGCACTCCCATTTTACATCGGACTGGTATATACGCTAGAGCTTTCTTTTCCTACAACAAAGGCGTAACCATTTGAAAAACAGCACTGTCTATAAACATTTAAAATATCAGATATAACCTGAGATGGGCAGAGGGCCGGGTTTAGTCCATTTCTGCCGAAAATCGTGGGCAGAAACGGCGATTACGGAATTTGCTATAATTCCATGCTTAATAGAAATTTTAGTGTAAAAAATTTTCTTTCTTAGGCAAGAAAGAGGCGACGAGGTAGATTGTAGTCGCTCGCCTCGATTTCGGGCAATTATAGGTTTTAATCTGGTTTGAAACCGGGTTAAAACCGGCGCGCTTGCCCAGCTCTGAATATGACGCTACTCAAAAGCTCCACTATCTCCTGATTGGTTAAAATATACTTGGCCAATCATGGACACTTCTATTCTACCTTTGTGGTTATTTGTTTTGTAGCGTTTGTTTGGCTTTCGTTTGAATTTGTTATCGTGGTTGTTAACAATAATATTTTCACTTCTCATGGTTTTTAAGTTCGTATTTGCTGGGTGTAGGTGTAGGCTGCATAAAATAGGATTTTATGCTCTAGTGCATGAAGAAAATCTTCGTTTTAGGCCTTGGTCTGAAACGAAGATTTTGGCTGAAGATGAAGATGTTGGCATCAGGCGCCAACTAGAACTTTAATAATTAAATTTTATTTTTTTTAATCCGTGTTATATTACAAAATTACTAAAAGTAGGCAATAGTAATACTAATAAATATAATGATATAGAAATGCACAAAAAAAAAAGCTTAAATATAACATGAGCATTATATAGTCCGACCTGAGCTAAGTGTCACGTGCAGAAAAAGAAGAAAAAGTACATTGGCGGGAAGTTCTTACTTTTTCTTGGCAAAAATTGTATTGCAATTTGAAATTGTTTTAAAATTCACGTTAAATAATGTCGTTAAGTGAAGAGGAAATTACAACCACAACTAACACTTTAACAGAGAGGAATGCGAAAAACGTCGTTGAGCAAATATTGCCGCCGAAATCTAAGCAAATTTATCTTAACGCGTAAATTTCATGCGTTGGAGCGTCGAAAAACAAGTGAATATGTTCTCGGAAAGTGTTTTCATAATATATTTCGATGAATTGTCCAAGAAAATTCATCACAAATACAAACTAATACAGTAAATTTGCCAAGAAAAACAAACATAAGTAAGTAAACATTTGTTTGTAATTTATTATTGCTGTTTAATTTCGTCGAAATCGAAGCGAAAAGCAGAGTGTACAACTCGTTCATAAAACCCATTTTACCCTCGACTTAACTATTCACATTTTTCGTATAATATCAAATGACGGGACGAACAAGTCATGCGCCTGTTGGTAAGCGACATGCCTATCCATAAACATACACGTCTCGGGTAAAAAGGCGCGTTTTATGCACATGTTGTAACAATCTACTATTTAAATACACAATTAGGTCTTAAAATCTAGTAGAGGTACCTATTACTTACGCTACGAGGCTTTGGTACTCGACAGAATCCTAATCACTATGCAACAATCGCATAAAATCCTATTATTTTTGTAAGAAAATAAAATCGAATGAATTAATAAATTCATATAACAAAAGTTTTTGTTCATGGTGTTAGTAATATAGTCCTGCGTAGTTGTTGGTATTTTACCATAACCCCGTGTATTCTAATGGTTATTGTATATAAGTTATTGGTTTTAACAATAGGTGTAAAGTTACATTTAAAATTTCGGCCAAGTCAATCTCAGATCTTAATTAAATATTAGTTGTAGTTACGTGCTCGAAAAGGTCAATATTAATGATCATCTCGAATGTACAATTGGCGTTTTTTTATTTGGCTTTTATGTGTACAATTGATATAAGGAACGTTTGTAGCTCAACACAACGTCGTTCAGTCGCGTTCCACAGCTTCTATGAAGACGAACGTTTGTCTTACGTGATTGGAAATAAATACTTTTTTGCAGTTGGTTATAAAATATAGCTTTTAAACCTATGGCAACGTTAAGTATTTTATGTAAGGATATTAAGGATTGTTAAACGGAATTAAAAGGTGAGTTTTAATTACATACCTACTTCTACTTAATTACGCAAAACCGTGTATTGTAATGTAGCTTAGTTTGCTTTCACTTTTAGGTTTAATTAAGTAGCATTTGGTTAAACTAACTGCTATAGCATGAAAATTGTGTCCTAATGTTTTAAACGTAGTAACAATGCTCTGATTAAATTAATGAAAGTGAATTGAAGCGTATCTATCAGTTGATAGTTTTAAGTGGAACAACTGAATTTAGATGTATCTAGTTGTTAACTAAAACGTGTTATTGCAACTTACTTAGCGATAAAGGAAATGTAAGGAAAGTTCATTTAAATTTTAGGCCTCCACTGGTCTTTTCAGGGAAACCCATGTTCAGTAGAACGTCGTATCGACTGTGAACTGACAATCGGTACTATCTCAATTTTGACAACTTTACAGGTGAAGAAAAAAATTGTTTACGTCGTCTATATAGCATCTGATTTATTAAATAAAAATACGTATTTTTTTCGCTTCTCATGCTCTTAAAGTTCGTATTTATGCTGGGTGTAGGCTGCATAAAATAGGATTTCTCGATAGGATCATACGTTTCCTGTTCTTCATTTCGAAGTTCCCAGTTACGAATCCGTGAAATGTCGGTACGAAATGTCACAGGGAACATTTTTATCTCTAGGTGTACAAGCGATATGCGTATTTTCTCGTATTCGAATCGCACTAAGTGCACAAGCGACATCCGAAATAGGTCCGATTTTATGACTGAGTTCCCTAGAGCAACTGAGAAAAGAGCTGATGATATTGACATTATAACGATCTATAAACATTTTTTAAAAATGAAAAATCTGTTAATCGAAAACCAGCGTATGCTCTGAGGCCGGATGTTCCTAACTTATTTATATTTATATATATTTACTTCAAGCTTTTATGTAATAATATACGTGTATGGCACGTGTATCGTAAATGTGTAATGTGGCATACTACAGAGGATACACACAGCATGTACCATTTTCCTTAGTACTCAGCCGACGCAGGCCTTGTACTCTCGTTCTCGTTCTTTGCCTGATATTCGCTCGAAGCAATTACTGTCAAATAAGAAATAATCGACCAAATTAAAAAACAAAATCAAGTACGAAGCTTCATTCGCATCATGCGTCTTTTAATTTGGTTGATTAATATTTCATCATCCTCATCGGAATACGTCCACTGCTACGCAACTGCTACTGCAACGTAGGCCTCCCCCAAAGATTTCCAGATCAGCCGATCGGACGCGACGTGCATCCATCGGTTACCCGCCGACCTTACAAGGTCATCCGTCCATCTAGTAGGGAGCCGTCCCACTGAACGCCTTCCGGTTCATGATCTCCATTCGAGAACCTTTTTGCCCCAATTGCCGTCAGTTTTACGAGCTATGCCGCTGTCACTATTATTACTTATTTGACAGTAATTGTTTCGGAGCTATGTCTTACGAAGAACGAGACTTAACCCCCAGACACGACTGAAAATTAGCGTCTGTCTCGCCCGAGATCTTGGTACTTGGTACTTGGTGTAACGGGCTGGTGTCCGCAACTCGACGACAAGGCGCCTATTTTTTATTTCGCCCGAGATACCTAGACATATTACTGAATCGTATCCCTTTCTCTTTGCGTGTGCATAGTGGCTATGCACACTTACCAACTTAAAATTACTCAGTCTCTTGTTGTTTTAGTTTTAAACATTAGACTTAAGTGACTAAATTTAATGAATAAACGTTTTTCTCTCTTCTTTCTTTCTTTCTAAATACCTGAACAGGTCATCAAACACAGGTTAAATAATCTCGATTAAATTAAATGCCATAGCTTTTTGCGATCAGTTCATCATCAATTTGGGAGCCACGAATTCAGACAGACACACTGCTACACCGATATAGGCTTCAAACTTATTATTTTTATAACTTTCGTTTGTTTTTTGTGTCAAAAATCGCAGTGCTTGCCACCTACTTACTATACATCTAAGGACAGTATGGGGAAATCCGAAACAATAAAAGATACAAGGAAACTGTCTTAGGAACCATTAAGTCTCTTTTTGTGAAAACAATTTTGGCATAGTCTATTTTTTTTGGTAAAGCGTGAGTTGTCCATAAAAATGAATAAAATTAATCGAATTTTTTTTTTAGTGCTGTTCGACTCAGCTTCATGTAAGGATCATTTCATTGAATGGAATGGAAAAATTGGAATCGCAGCAGCTTGTCAAATTTAATCAAATGTTTTTCATACAAAATGAATAAAATTGACTAATTTTTTTTGATGCTGATAGACTCAGGGTCGTATTCCAGAACTGTACTCAATGCTCAAGTCAGGATTTGAGCAGACTTGAGTATGATTTCAAGCAATGGAAATACGACCCTAATGGCAGGGACTTGAGTATGATTTCGAGTGCTTTAAACCATACTCAAATCCTGACTTGAGCATTGAGTAGAGTTCTAGAATACGACCCTTAGTTTCTTATAAGGATGATTTCATTGTAGGTAACGAAAAAATCGGGACAGCAGAAGTTGTTCAAATTTAATAAAATTATTTTTCACACTGAGAATTTTGAGGCTGTTGGAAGAAAGGTTTGCAACTGTCGGTCTGTTTTTTATTTAGCAGACTACTTACAAGCTTTTTTTTGAAGAGTAAACAGGATTGATGTAGGTATCTGTACTGTTAGCCCACAGGATGACACCATAGCTTAGCCAAGCATAAGGGTACGCGTAATAGGTGGTCTGTGCTGTTTGTATATTATTGTTTTTATTTTATTTCTCGGAGTGCATACGTGAGACTGGTTATGCTGGAAGATCTTTCTTCCCGTTGTTGTCGGTTCTACAATTACCTAATTAATTTTGTTACAGTTAGTCTAACTCATCGAGACATTGTTACGACCTATCACATGTCAGTTTATATAATTTCGACTATTACGACCAATTTAAGAAACGAACTTAGCTAAATTGATTTTACTTTGGTGTTCTGGGTAATGCCACGTGAGCCAAATTCGTTACACTGGTAGTACCCATAGTAAACAAATTTGCGTTTGATACCAGGTAATTGATGTGATTATCTGGCACTTTATTGCTATTGTTACATTGTACAAATTATCAAATAAAAAAGAACCTGCTTCAATTGGCATTGCGTTGAAAGTTAATAAATTTCGTTATCGTCTCTAGTAGAGATGCCACGAATATTCGGCTGCTATTTGGTATTCGGTCTATTCGGCCACTTTTTTTAATATTCGGAATTCGGCCGAATACTAGGACTACTCGACCGAATACCAAATAATGAGAAAAAACACATATTATTCAAAATGTATCGTGCATTTTAATCGCAACTTATTGCTTTAATACTTAAAATCAATCAGTGGCAGGTTGTGATGAATGAAAATATGTTTTTCAGCATTGGTTGGTAACAAACGATTACACTTTTCCTCATAAATAATTCCTTTATGAGGATAATTTAAAAAAAATAGCCTCTCACTATACCTACACACTACTGCCAGGAGACTGTAGATAAATCTTAGCAAATTTTGACAGGCTTGGATACTGCTTTGCGTTTGCTGACCACCACTTGTAAGAATCTGCCGTCCGGTCTAGTTTTCAAATGAAAATCAATTTCATGTGCAATAGAACTTTTCTCCACATCCTCATCATTTTGCTTATTATCTGTAACGACTTCTTCAAAACAGGTCTAGAAACTGTCATGTATTGATTCTATCGTTCCATCATTTTACAACAAAAGTAAAGAAAGGAGAATAGAATAGAATAGACATTTATTACAACGCCACAACACATAGATACAAAAAAAAAACAAAAATTGATAACACAGACGAACAAAAGAAAACAAAAATAAGTGTGGTGTCGTAATAATATTATTATATTATATATAAAATAATATTCGGCCGAGAGCGTGGTCGAATGTTCGGTATTCAGTATTCGGCGAAATCACTATTCGTGGCATCTCTAATCTCTACTCATCTGCGCATCGAATTTTGCTGTTATTAACTTCCTCAATTTTGTAATACATGCACTTGCATGTTTCATAAAACATGACCCATGTTGTATCAATATCTGAACGATTACCTACTACAAATTATGAAAATCGTCATATAAATTTTTTTTCATGCTATCTAGATAAATAACACATGGGTCAATTTCCAAAGGTGAAATTACAGGCACATGGGACTTTTCAGTTTATGTCTCAGGATGACGGGCGTAGTGGTAGTGCCCCTCAAATCTTTGCGATTTAGAATTTTTAGTGGTATTGTACTCTTATGGACAGGCGTGTCGCTTAACACCAGGCGCATGACTTATTTGTCCCATCACTTGGTAAAAAGGTGGAAAGGTGAATTTTAACCATTTCGTTCGTATTAGTAAGTTTTAATAACAAAGTTGTTTGTTATATATGTACGTTCGCCTACTGTAATATGGTCGCAGGTAACTTTCTGTACTTTAACATTTCTATGTAAACTATTGGTTAACCTTTAGTTAGGTAACGCAACTACTAGTAACAGAGTCTACCTAAACATGTAGAAAAACAAGTAAAACCTAGTATTGGCGGAATTCAGCGGGATGCACCTATATATAGAAAATAAAATTTGATGCGTATAAACATTTTTAAATTTTTCTTTACTGTTGAATTTAAAATGTATTAATTCAACAGTAAAAAAATATGGTAAATGAAGTAGATCTTTAAATGTTGACAGAGTCGGTCAATTGAAATTATTTTAAAGAGATTTCATTGTATAATTTATCATTTCGTTACAGAATGGAGTACCGTGGTACTATTTGGTTACATGTCTTAATTGTTTTCAATGGATTCATAGTTTTGCACAGCGTGAATACGTGGGGGACAGTACGTAAGTATTTTTTTATATTTTACTTCTCTTGTTCTATTTACACATATACATATATTATTATCCAACGATATTCACCAAATTTAAGTATTTTTCTAAATACATGTTACATATTTTTAGAGTTCCATACCAAAGTTTTTAAATTACGCCAAGTCTGCTACGGTCAATATAATTAAATTAATATTTATCAGTGTAACTGTCACGCCGGTTACTAAAATACTTTTTCACCTCACTAGCTCGGAAAGGCTTTCTTTCTCATTAGAAGCCTGCGCGCAAAAGCGATTTTTTTCCACACTAGCGTGGAAAAGGTTTTTGTAATTCGGACTTGACGATGGACTACAGCACTTAACATTTTCTTTCGATAAAAAAAAAACATAATGACCCGTTCAACTACGCGATTTGTCATACATTATTTATGTCATACAAATACGTTGATATAATTTATACTTACTATTGTCGATATTAAATTGACAATAATATAACTAATTTTGTTTATTAATTTTTTTTAAGTATGAATGAATGTTTTTCTTTCATCTACCATTTTTCTCGCTATAGTGAGGTAAAAAGTTGTGTGTTTCGTTCGGCAGTAAGGTTGTACTGCGTCTCGTGGCTTGAAACCCTCGCTACGGTCAGGATTTTATTTTTGAAACACTCGCTTCGCTCATGGTTCAATCTTGGGGCACTTCGCTTACTCAGCTTTCAATACAAGTAATCGCGTCAAATAACAACTTCGCGGCCTTGCCGTCAAATAACTATTTAAGGAATTTGTACATATACTGTACCTATTACCTTACATTTGCCTGCTACGGCAAATGTGTTGTATTTGCTCCTTTAGAATACACATTGTTCGAAGTGAAATTGAGAACAAGAGCAATGATCTCCCGTTCGCGTTTGATCAATTAGATTATTGTTTGGAGCTTTTAGTCTCAAGTTTCATTAGAAGTGATTCAATGAAAAATCATACAACACATTATTATTGTACGTAGTGTTGAACACGCAAATGTCTATTTAAATAATAAATGTAGAGATTGTTTGTTTAATGCCTCTTGTTATAACAATTAACGACTGCACCACGGAAAACATTTGTAAAGGATATTTGTTTTATAGAATAGCATAATGTTGTTACTAAAAAAAGTTGAAAGAGGCTGACGACAGATGTCGCTATATTAATTTGTATTTCATTGAATATCATGATGTTTTTACTTGTATGATATTCATATATCATACTAGTAAAAACTTTTTCGTGAAAGTACTCCACTAGTTTGTTATTATTATTGATACAAAGATCGAACAACACAAATGGACCAGCACTTGTTGCCACACCGAAGCCAGCGCTCTTACCAACTAAAATACAGTAACCGAGTTAGTAGATCTTTTTTTATTTTAAAGTTTTGTAAAGGACAGAATGGTGCAGTAAAATCTTATAGACCAACACGACTCTAGCTACACCAAACAACAAATCCACGGTTTATGCTCATTATAATAAATAAGGGTAAAATATTGTGTTGTGTGACGTGTTTCATCCATTCATGGTACTTATTTTTTTATTTCGACATCTCTACTATGCTGCTTAGTAGAAATACGGAGTATAGATAGAATACAGATTTCTCAAAGATGGCGCTACGACTAAAAAGTCGTTGAAAAGTAAATACAAAAAATCTGACAAGAAGTGCATATAAGAATTCGTGAGGTCCGCTGATTCATTCCGTGGCTTAGTTGGCATAGCGTCTGACACGATTTGCTAGGAGACGTCGATTCGAATCTTTGTGTTAATAATTATAACAAACTAGCTAATGGTGGTGAAACATTCCTGACATTCAACAAAAAAATTTAAATACTGAGTACAGTTTTTGATATATATTGGGCACTACTGGCTTTTATATAATCGTCGTTTTCAACCGGAATTTGTTGTAACTATGGTTTAGTAAAACATATTTTATTATTATAGTTACAATGTTTATTTTGCCCTCTATTACCAAAAGGTGCGTAATTGGAACAAACAATACAAACAATACAGTTCTTTGTAGCTGTAGAGCTCCTTGTGAAAGAGTTCGTCGGAGGAAGTAGGTACTGCCACATTACCTATTTCTGCCGCCAAGCGGTAATGTGAGCATTACTGCGTTCCGATTTTGAAACGTATGGGTGCTGGTGAAACTACAGGCACATGGGACTTGTCAACTTAAGTCTCAGGGTGACGGGCGCAGTCCTTAGATCTTTGCGGTTTTTAGCTCTGCAACTGCTATGGTCTATCACTCAAACATTTATTTATGGCAATGCACACAACATAATACAATGTTACTGTTATTTCAATTTCAGAACAGTTTCCATCGCAGTTAATTCCAGATGAAGGCTTCAGTCCAAAACGAGCGATAGTGCGGCGCAAAGTGGTGATGTACCACAATTTCTTCCGCACCAAAGTGCAACCGACGGCTTCTAATATGTTACTTATGGTAAGTTGCTATAGACAAAGGACCGAAATGGATACGTAAAGGCTGGTTGGGGACGCTGCCAACCAGTTTCTTTTTATTTATATACGATAATTGTGTGCGAAATTTAATTAGAAGTTGATTAGGTTTTCGATGAAAGAAAATATCGTGATGAACGTCGAAGAAGGTTCACAACCATTCGGAAAACGTATGGTTGCCCAACCCGCATCGGGCTAATGGGTTATGGCCTAAAACCTTCATCGGAGAGAAGAGCCGTGACCAGCAGTGGGACGTATAAATGCGTTGATGATGATAATGATGATGAATTGTATTATGAACTATATACATTTGTACTATGAACTCTCGTATGTAGGTACCTCCCTTCTTAGAGGATAAGCCATCTCAATTTTAGTAAAATTAATTGCGTATACTTCTTCAAAAGGCGTATTTATTTTAGTTGTTGTTTTGTTTTCTTTGTTTTACCATATTTTAACAATAATCATTAACTGCCTTCGTGGCCAAACGGTTACTATGCCGTTACTGCCACGCAGAGGTCCTAGGTTCGTTTCCCGGGCTGGGAGAAATATTTGTATGGCCTACGTTTATTTCTCTCGTGGGTTCGGGTGTAATTTGTGGTTGTCTATGTGTATGTCCATGGCACCCGCGACACAGGGTTTCCCTAGTGCGGGGCTATGTTGATTGTGTGCGTTATTATATAAAAAATCTGTTTTAAGTAACATTATTATTATTAGACATTAACAATCATAAAGAAAGTAGACATATAAATCATACGTGCTTTTTTAGATATTGCTTTAAAATTTTTTTTTAACGACAAGTCGACGAGAACTACTTGTTATTATTTCAAAGATTTTAAATATTATTCTCTGGATGCTAACATTTGTCTAGTACCAACTGTTTAGACATATCTGTGAACTTCTTTCTGAACTGCCCATGTAAAACATTCTATGTAATTAGTTTGTACACTTCTTTAAATAAATAAATCTTTTTTGCACTTTCGTGATATACGTTAATAACAACCGCCACTATTTTTTCATCGCACTTTTTGCAGCTTGACTATAATGCCCCAAATAAAACCCTCGGGCCTTTTTTCTTCTCATTACCGACATGACTGGAATGAGAAGAAAAAAGGGGTTACTATTTACGTGCAAGTGTGATGAAAAATTTTGTACGTTTTACGAACGGTACAGGAATTACGAACCTCGACTCCGAAAGCCCTCACTCTTCAACTTCGGGCTTCTAATAGAGTCTCGTTCGTAATTTCTTATTTACCGCCCTTAATAAACAATGTACTTTAATTAATGCTTTGTTCCAGACATGGCATCAGCCCGCCGCGCAACAAGCGCAACAATATGCAGAACGCTGCAAATTTCTTCAGCACAATCCTCCCATAGAAAACACAGTTCCCCTTTATGGTTCCTGCGGGCAGAACCTCTTTGTCTCTTCACACAAAACTCCTTGGTAAGTGCATTAACCTTTCAGGAAATAGATTCTTTAGTATTTTTTATATATTATAAATACAAATGTAATGCAAGCGTAAAGGGTTTTTTGTTAACCCAAAACGTTTTGACACGGCTTCAAATTTGATTCTACGATCATCGTGCAAGGAAAAAATCTCAACTAGCATCACATCTTACAATATCACACAAGTCACGTGTTACATGTTGTGGTAATTACCATTATAGGAGATAAAATGATAAAACTAAATGATTCACAATAACAAAAAAACTTGATTGCTTAAATTAAAGATTTGAACCTTTAAACAAATCGAAACAAAAATATCTTTATTCATAGGTATTTTTTTTATGATATCAAACGACGAAACGAACTTGTCTTGTGCCTGGTGGTAAGTGATATGCCTATCCATGACAGTTGCAGTGCCATTCAGAGCTTTGAATAGCAACGATCTGAGGGGCACTGCCGCTACATCTGTAACTGTGAGACTTAGGTAGACATGTACCTAAAATGTGCCTATAATTTCACCAGCGCCCTTAGCTTTGTATTGTGTATTGAAACCGCAATCGATTTTTAATCGACTTCATTGAATAAAAGGAGGAGGTTCTCAATTCGTCTATGTTTTTTTTTTGTATGTATGTTACGCGATAACTCCCGGCATTTGTGAACTGATTTGGATAATTCTTTTTTAATTGTAAGGCACCTTAGTAGTAGTCCCATTTAAGTTTGGAGAAAATATTCTACCGCTAAGGGTGGAAAACTAGGATGAATCCGTCTTCGCAACTTTTCGGTAATCGATTTCAATAAAACTTGGCAAATCGATGTAGTATTCTGTGCTGAGATTATTGTATGTATGATACGCGATAACTCAAAGCATTAGTGAACCGATCTTGATGGTTCTTTTTTTATTTGGAAAGGGGGTACTTCAGTATTGGTCCCATTAAAATTTGAAGGAATTCCACCTGTAAGGATGGCAAACTAGGGGATGAATCTGGTTTCGCGCACTTTCCGGTAACCGATTAAATAAAACTTGACAAATAGATATAATTCCACGAACTTTGGAGGTCGGTTTCTTTTATAAAAAAGTTATCTAAAGAATTTTTGGACTTACAGAATTTGTAGTGCTAAATTTGAACACGATACTTTCATTATAATGTACATTTGGCATTTAAGTGATGATATAAATAATATTGTCTGGGTCTTAATAACTTCACATATTATGTACATTCTGATATACACTGGGTTTTAGGAGGATAATCATAAAAGTTTTAGGCGACAATAAAACTTTGAGTTATATTTTTTTCCAGTGTGGAGGAAACTTGGCAAATTTTTTTTACAAACAATTTATGTTCCATAGTTTATTATATGAAATACAAAAAACGCTGCAATAAAAGCTCGATCTCAATAACGATCCATAACAAAAGTGAATCAATGAATCGTGTTTCACACACCAAGGTCTTGAATGAGTGATAAATTGCTAAGGTGGATCTCTTTACTAGTTTTTGCTATTACACTTAACTTCCTCGTCCAGTACCATCACGATTTTGAAACGTTTATATCTAATAGTAATTTCGTGAACACTTAATTATAGATTTCGAGGGCAATCGGACATTCTGTTAACATTTTATAAATGAAGTAGGCGTTAATTATGATTCGTTAAAAATAATAAATATGTTATGTTGTTTATTTCGTTCACATGGAGTAGATTAGGAAGTAGGTAGATGTGGTAGTATAACACAAGAAAATGTGACGATGTTGACCTCATTCATCGTCATCCCACCTTTTTAACGTTCTCTTTTCTGGTTCCTGACCACTTATTCTTAAAATTATGAATCTTTCTCGTATTCCCTTTTCCTTCACTATTCTTACGTTTATTCTATTTGTCGTCATTCCCATCAAAATTCTTGACGTGCCCATAAATCACAAATCATCTTAATTTCCTGAGTATGTCGATTGCTATTAAAATTATTTACTTAATATAGGCCCTTTTGGCCCTTCCTTTTCCTGTTATTATCTCTCACAATAAATCTTGTGGAGCCTTCTGCGTTCTCGTTTCGTTAAGGCTAGGTCACAAAAAGCACTGTTCACACTATAATCTCCTCACAGGTGCCTTATCGTGTTCCTCGTTAACACTATCTCAGTGTCTAGTAGACTGCTTAAGATTCTTTTTGTATGATACCAAGGGAAAGGGAAAGGGAAGGGAAGGGACGAACTAGTCGTGCGCTTGTTGGTAAGATACATACTAGCTTTTGCAGTGCCACTCAGAGTCATTTAAATTTCAAATTGACTTAGAGACATAATTTGACAAGTCCCATGTGCCTGTAATTTTACCAAAATTATACAATATACGTAGCGTTTTTTTTAAATGGGGAAATCCGGAACCATAGAAGATACAAGGAAACTGTCTTAAAACCTTAGAATTAAGTTGTGTAATAAATTTTGGCATAGTCAATTATTTGGTCAAGCATGAGTTGTCCATAAAAATGAATAAAATTGAAAAAAATTTTTTTTTACTACTGACCGACTCAGTTTTAGGTAAGGATCATTTCATTGTATGGGACGAAAAAAAATCAAAACAGCAGAAGTTGGTCAAATTTAATGATTTTTCATACAAAATTCCGGTTTTGAAGGGTAAGCACTCAGTTACACGAGGCGAAAGTTTTCGCGCGGCTGCCGCGCGGCGACACGCGCGGCGACCGCCCAGCTACCGCGCCTTCATGTACATTAATGGCGAATCTGAATACCATTTACTAGTAGAGAACAACATTTAAATTCCTCTAAATAATACAACCACGCGGCCGCCGCGCAGACCAAATTCAAGCCAGCCTCGACCGCGCGCCCGGGACGCTCATTTAAGTTAAAACGTAAAAGCTAATCGTAGTCCGCGACGCCGCCGCGCAGCGATCGCGTGCGTCTGACTGTCATGGCAAAATACTTAAAACTTTCATAGATTTCTCATAGATGGCGCTACCACGTCTTACGTTAATGGCAAATTTGAATTCTATTTACTAGGCAACATCATTTACATTCCTCTGAATACTTAAACCGCGCGGCCGCTGCGTACTCCGCTCGCGGCCGCCGCGTAGACCAAAGCCAGACTCGGCCGCATACCCGCGACGCTCATTTAAGTGAAAACGTAAAAGCTAAACAAATAAAGCGTATTTTGCCATGACAGTTAGACGCACGCGGTTGCTGCGCGGCGGCAATGCGGACTCCGCTCTTCGACCGCGCGGCGACCGTGCGGGGTTAGAGCGATTAAATTTATGTCGAATAAATGCGCCCTAAGGATGCTAGTGAGGTTACAGGCAAACGGGACTTATCAACATTTTGTCGCAGGGTGACGTGTGCAGTGACATTGCACCTTTGCGATTTGAAACTCTGAGTCCGCAACTGTTATTGGTAGGCGAATAGCTAGCCATCAGGCGTACGACTAGTTCATCCGGTCTCTAGATATCATAAAAAAAAATCTGGTAAGGTTCCCGTCATTCTTGGACCAATGTTCAATACCTAATTTCGGTGGCAATTTTTATTATTTAGAAATTCGATTTTGTATCGTGAAATTTTATTTAATAATTACACGATAATATATTTGAATATTTAAGTAATCAAATTGGCGCGGAAATTGGGTAGTGAACACTAGTCTGCGAATTATGGTCTCATTGCATCGTGTACTGTTCTGAGTGGGATTTTGTTCAAACAATACAATAAACCTGTTGTATCAACGCAACAAATTATTTACGTTTAGGTAAATTAATTCTAGTTAATATTAAGCTATTAAAGTGAGGATTAAAGGCAGTTAGTAAGTCAGGCTTGAAGAGAAGATTGGCCGGTTCGAATTGACGTGAGAACTGTAAGTTGTGATGTAGCCTGGTTGTTTTGTCACGTTGCGATTGTAAACTTTATTTGCCTATATTCAAGTGATATAATTAAAGAGAACGAGTAACAAAAAACCTACGATCATGTTTTTTATTTTAGAAGAATAAAGCAAAAAATTTGCTAATATAAATTCTCAGTACATCGGAAATTTGTACAGAGAACCCACCAGGATTACCAGCTGAAATAATTTGTGACCAACGATATCTATAAAATGTTTGTTTGTAATTTTTTTGTTGCACCATCTGGTATTACAAGGAGGCTTACATGACATATAATCTTTTAATTAGTTTCTGCAGAATTGATGTAAAAAAAACAATGGCCAATTTATGGTAATTATTTATAGATAAGGAGGCTTATTTTTCCTTGTAGTAGTTACTGGAGCTCTTGAAAAGTTTGACGGCCCTGACGGAAGCAGGGATGCCACTGATGTGGATTATAACGACATTCGCAGATGCGGACGCGGATGCGAACGTTTCATCGGATTTATAGCCAATTTTATTCCAAAACTTATGAAAGATTTATATTGATACTTAAACTTTTTGAAGATGTTGTGAGCCGTCCTTTATGTGAATAGATAACCCAATAATTTTTATTTAGATAACAAACAGGCCGTTGTCTGCATTACACGCTGCCAGATTCTCATACCCTTATTGGCTATTTAGCATTAGACGACGACGATCTTATCTTGGCCAGCATAATATCTGAAACCGTAAAAACTCTGCATCGATTGATTCGGATGTGTTATTTAAAAATTTGCAGATCTGGAATTGAGAATGAGGATGCAGACGTCTGCGGCATCTCTAATCTAGAGCCCACAGTGCTTACTGTTGGTCTACCGAAATTATCAAAGTTACTTGTATACATAAATAGCGTTATCTTCGGATCTTCTTTTCTTAGATAATAAATTGCTTGAATATTAACTTAACAGACGTGTTTGTTTCCTTTCAGGTTCTTCGCGATAAAGAGCTGGTTCCTTGAATACCAAAACTTTACTTTTGGTGCCCCAAACTACGTTCTTCATGACATCGGTCATTATACTCAGATGGTGTGGGCCACCAGCCATAAAGTCGGCTGTGGGGTTGCTCTGTGTAAAGGAGGACCTTGGGGAAAATTTTATAATTATGTGTGCCACTATTGTCCTGCGTAAGTATCTCAGCGCTCATTTTTGCTTCTGTTTGACAACAATATGTAACACTTGTTTCTGAAGTCCAAGCTTCGCAGTCATTTGAAGTTTACGGAAACAGGCAAATAATAATAACGATAATAGTTAGCCTATATATAGTCCCACTGCTGTGCACAGGTCTCCTCTTACAATGAGAGGGCTTGGGCTGTACTTCACACGCGGGTCCAGTTGGGAACTTCACACAGATTAAATTGCTTTGTAGATGCGTGCATGTTTTTGGCTCTTTACAAGTCCGACTGACACGGCTGACTGAGATGGTGAATCATCAGCCAGTTATATATCTAACATTAGTGCAGACCACCCTATTGGTCACTAAATTATATCGCTTTTCCTTAATGTTAATTCACATTATGGAAAAGCGATATAATTGAGTATTGAAAAAATAGTTTCATTTCCTTTATGTTGTATTGGTATAATTTAACACGTTTGATTTATATTATTACAGGGGCAACATCGAAAGCTTGGTCCAGTATCCCTACAAGCCAGGGAAGCAGTGTACAGAATGCCCAGGCCAGTGTGTAAGCGAATCTCTATGCACGAATCCGTGTCCTGCAAAAGACGTTTATTCCAATTGCTACGAGCTGATCAAGTACCCTGGCATATGCACGCAGGGAAATTGCAACGCAACTTGTGTTTGTGGAAACAAACGGATACACAAGAACTATCCTTGGAAATGAAACTGTAGTGATTTTGTTTTTGTTAACGCCTAGAGTGCTGACGCAAAATATGACGCAAAATATATTCTTCTAAATTTTACCCGGACTGTCAAATCAAAACCATAGTATAATAAGAGCAAGTAGGGCAACTCCCGCCTGTTCGACGACTAAATGCCTACACTTCCCTCGAAGTATAGGGTTGCTACATTATTATTTAGTTGCACCTACAAGTTCTAAATATAAATTGAAAATATTAATGTGTTCATCACAGTACTCGTATTCTCGTGCTATATTGCAACAACTTTGTTAAATTGCGGAAGTTCTTAAGTATTGATATTTTTATACCAGGATCGCGGATTGGTATCTTAATTATGGAATATGATAATGAAAAATATAAATGAAATCAAACTACCATAAATACAACGATAAACACGTCTAACCCGTTCATGTCATTTTTTTGACACGGAGCTAGTGCTTCAATTTTACAACGCGTTGGACGACCCGCAAAGTTACCCTACTTATCTTAGTTATACTATGTCAAAAGTGTCTATGAACCGTAAATCGATTCTTAAAGAAATTTCAACAACTAAAATATACGTTACAACATTACCTTCAATACAAGAAATAAGTATACTTATACGGGGTGTCCCATGGCTATGCCACATGGAAGGAAAGTACCTTAATTACCGTAGATAGAAAATCTTACTCAAAGAAGACTTAATTTTGATTTTAAAAACAATTCGAACTGCATTCAAAGATTTTTAGATAATCGCCTGTTTGAACCGGGAATCTAACCTGCTAAATGTAAAAAAACCCTGCAATTTTACTATACTGATCGAAATCCTCATTGATATGGATTTTTTT